AAAACAATCTTTTCTTCCAAATTGGGAATTGGGGTAAGTCCCAATTCATTCCATTCATTTTGTAAGTAAGACATTCAATTTGGTTAACTGAGAGTACACCTGTATGCTAAACTGCCTGTCAATTTTTAATCAACTTGTTTGTGAAACCCAATAATCAACTTGTTCATGCAACCCAACAATGCATTGTTGGGCGCCACAGGACTAGGGTTTAAGACTGCTTTGCACTGCATAAATACTTCTCTCTTCTTGTCAAGACTTAACTCGCCACTTACTTCTTTCAAGACAGAAAACACCAGCTGAAGTATGTTATCTTCTTGCTGCTTGACATTTTATGTGACACTTCCTGCTTGTCCTTTTCAAAACTAATTAGTTTTAGTTCAAAGTCCCCATTAACTTTACGACTTACTTGAGATTGTGCCCTGCTTAGATCAACAGGGGAGTTTCTGACTCATCAGCTTTGCTTCCAAGCAAATTTGTGGTAATTGAATGAGGGCCTGCAAGCCTTTTTCGTAAGGCGTAATCAGGCCGTTTTAGATTTCGTAATTCGTAGGCAGCCTCCGCAAAAATCAACGTAATTCGTAATTGGACATTACCCGCAAATCGTAAAGTCGTAATCAGCTCTGAGACTTTAACGTAATTCGTAATAGGCGGCGAAAATTTTGCGTAATTCGTAATCACTACCCCCCTTGCAGGCCCTCTTGAATGTCTGGTATCCACTTCGACGTGTCATGTAACAACGAATCAACTTGTTTATCTTAGTTTGCTGCTGGTAGCTGTGTTGGTTTGTGTCTCTGTCTGTCTGGACAGAATAGGTTGACAGCACATGGGTGAGGGAAGATTGACAGGCAGACTATGACAGGTCAAAATGTTAGACACAGGAAATGGGGTGAGCTTGAATATCACAATATCCCAAAAATACTCCCTGAAAATCTTTTGTCTCTGATTTCTTGTTTTACTTGACATGTACATCTTTGAATGTTTAATGGCTGGTGCCAACACTTTACTTACATTTATAAATATATACGAGTTAATGTTATCCTCTGGTACATTAAAATCTTTTGTGATGTCCATAAACATTGCTAAGGGCCACAAATGGCAAGGCTTTCTCTGTCTGTTACAGTTAGTGAGTGTTCGGATCTAGGGTGGGTGTTAAGAGCGAATGTCTGTAAGGATCAAACAATGGTGGCACCGGTCAAAAAATCGATTTGGCTCATTTTTTGCACAGTGATAGTACTTGGTACATAACCCCTCAGAATAGCTTTCTTTTTGTTCAGAACCCCTTGTTGCCATGGCAACGGGCCAAAGTAGTTTTCAGGGCATTTGTCCAGATTTTGGCATGTACAAAACATAGAAATTGGCTAACATTAATAATAAGAGCACTATAACTGATCAGTGCTTTAGCGTAACGACAAGAGCAAGATGTGCTGATCAGAGCAATGCCTAAACTTGTATAAAATAGCAGTAAAGCCAATGTTCAGTAAAATCTGAGGTCTTGGGCACTCTGAATACAATGCACTGTTTTAAGGGTGTAAAAAAACTGAAATTTTGCCCAACTTTGAAGCACTGTAAGTCCCAGAAGGGGAGGATGTTTTGTTTGAAATTTGCACTGCATAATAAACCACTCCAGAGGTATCAGATGCATGCTTGCAAAGTTTGGGTTCTTGTTTCGTTGCTACGCACTTGTCCTTTAAAGTAGGTCAGTTTTCGTTATTTTGATGATATGTCATTTTGTGCTTTCTTTGAACTAACATAAGCTCCAAACCAAACTAGTTCTTTACTTGAAATTTACATGAAGTATAAAACAACAAATTGTCTATGAAATGCATGCTTGCAAAGTTTGGGTTCTTGTTTCGTTGCTACGCACTTGTCCTTTAAAGTAGGTCAGTTTTCGTTATTTTGATGATATGTCATTTTGTGCTATCTTTGAACTAACATAAGCTCCAAACGAAACTAGTTCTTTACTTGAAATTTACATGAAGTATAAAACAACAAATTGTCTATAAAATGCATGCTTGCAAAGTTTGGGTTCTTGTTTTGCTGCTACGCGCTTGTCCCTGAAAGTGGGACAATTTTCATTAGTTTGATAGTACGTCATTTTGTGCTATCTTTGAACCACCATAAGTTCCAAACCAACATTGGTTTGTACTTGCAATTTACGTTAAATATAGAACAATATATTGTCAATGAAGGGCAAGTTTGAGGTCTTGTTTTGTTGCAGTGAAACTGGCCTTGAAACTGGGTATTTTTTTCAATATGTCATTTTGTACTATCAATTTAAAAGTATCATAAGTTGCAAACCAATATTGCCTGCATTTGAAATACAAAATTTAATGCTGTGTTGCCCCTTCCTTAAGGGCAACAAAGCATGCCATCCAGTTCCTAGACTATAGTGAATCTCCCCTTGGCTCCGTGGTCAGGGCAAGAAACTTGAGAAGTCCTTATCTCTTTCATCTAGAGTTCACGTTAGCTTGATAAAGATGAGATATAAACCTATGTGACATGTCAAAGAGAGGTGACTTATACGAACTTGGGATTGCATTGCTAAAACTGATTTGTGAACACTTTGATGTGGATGTATCTTCCATAAGTGATCGCCGTCGGAAAGCGGCCTTTGTAGCAAAACTGAAAGAGTACTTAAGTTCCTGTCCTTGCTCAAAATGAGTACAGTCTACATGTACAGGAATAGCGGAGTTGACTGAAATGCATGTTTTCCACATAGACATAGTTATACAAAGACATAGAGTGATAGACTACATATTAGAAAGATGCGCAGGGATTCATCATATTTATTCAAATATAGAAACAAGTCAAGTCTTCGAGAGTCAATAATGTGGGGACGCTGAATATGACTGTATAAGACTGTTATCATCAAATTAAGATAAAGTGGCATACGTTCAATAACAGCCACATTGCTACAACTATATCATGCAAACGTTGGTGCTAACTATTTCATAAACAACCCAAGGCATAGATCTGTCAAAATTAGAGATAGAAGAATTAAAACCTTTCCTTTTTCATATTAGACTCCCAAAGATAGCCAATATTTTGCATTAGTGGACAAGTGAAGAATATGGCCTACTTTCAGGGACAGGTACAGCCACTAGAACACAGGAATCTGACCTATGCAAACATGCATTTCAAAGATAATATATAGGTTTACATTCAGTGTAAATTTAAATAGCAAAATAATTTACTGTTGAGACTTATGAGAGTCAAAAGATAGGACAAGATGACATGAAAATATGCAAATTGCCCCTTTTTCTAGGGACAAGTGCGTAGCAGCAAAACAAGAACCCAGACTTTGCAAGTACGCATTCTACAGAGTACATATTGTTTTATGTTGTAAATAAATTTCAAGTACAGAACTAGTTTGGTTTGGAACTTATGTCAGTTAAAAATAGCACAAAATGACATATTATCAAAACAATGAAAACTGACCCACTTTAAAGGACAAGTGCGTAGCAACGAAACAAGAACCCAAACTTTGCAAGCATGCATTTCATAGACAATTTGTTGTTTTATACTTCATGTAAATTTCAAGTAAAGAACTAGTTTCGTTTGGAGCTTATGTTAGTTCAAAGATAGCACAAAATGACATATCATCAAAATAACGAAAACTGACCTACTTTAAAGGACAAGTGCGTAGCAACGAAACAAGAACCCAAACTTTGCAAGCATGCATTTCATAGACAATTTGTTGTTTTATACTTCATGTAAATTTCAAGTAAAGAACTAGTTTGGTTTGGAGCTTATGTTAGTTCAAAGAAAGCACAAAATGACATATCATCAAAATAACGAAAACTGACCTACTTTAAAGGACAAGTGCGTAGCAACGAAACAAGAACCCAAACTTTGCAAGCATGCATCTGATACCTCTGGATGGTTTATTATGCAGTGCAAATTTCAAACAAAACATCCTCCCCCTTCTGGGACTTACAGTGCTTCAAAGTTGGGCAAAATTTCAGTTTTTTTACACCCTTAAAACAGTGCATTGTATTCAGAGTGCCCAAGACCTCAGATTTTACTGAACATTGGCTTTACTGCTATTTTATACAAGTTTAGGCATTGCTCTGATCAGCACATCTTGCTCTTGTCGTTACGCTAAAGCACTGATCAGTTATAGTGCTCTAAAGTTAGCCAATTTCTATGTTTTGTACATGCCAAAATCTGGACAAATGCCCTGAAAACTACTTTGGCCCGTTGCCATGGCAACAAGGGGTTCTGAACAAAAAGAAAGCTATTCTGAGGGGTTATGTACCAAGTACTATCACTGTGCAAAAAATGAGCCAAATCGATTTTTTGACCGGTGCCACCATTGTTTGATCCTTACAGACATTCGCTCTTAAAACTTATGGTCCAGACACTTGCTGGATGTGTATAGTCTAGGCTCTGTTTCTTCCTGAGTTGGACATGAATGACACATTATGTGTGTAGTAAATGTGTGTTGACAAAGCTTTGACAGAGTTTTACACTGGTCGTCAAGTAAATGGTGCAGTCAGGCAATAACTTATGCCAAGATATAGGTCAAGAGTCCAGGCCTGTTGCTGACTTTGTGCAAGAGAGTGTTATTTTGTTATCTTTGGAAGACTTTGAAATATTGGTTGGCTATCATTTAAACTCTGTTCTGTCCATTCAAACTTATTTTGAAAGATGGCTTAAGAGAAAGTCGCGAGTACATGTAGCATGATACTTTGGCGATGTGGTGAGGTTTTGACTAATATTTGTTAAGATTCTCACATTTGTTGACAAGAGTTGGGTTCTGAACATTCCTGTGTGCTCTGGCCAAAATGTCAGCTTTGTGGCAAGCTGCATTGCACTAAAAAGTGATGCTTCAAGTTCAGACGATAACTGTATATATGTATATTTCTTTATCAATGAGTTAAAAGAACAAAGTAAGATGTGAATATGTATCTATCTCTTTTTAAGTGATTGTCATTGATTGTTGAGGATATACATGTATGTTACTGTGCCTAATAAGTGCTATTTTTCTCCATGTCCAGCTCTTCCATGCAGGCAAGTTGACAGGAACGCAGGTTGCCAACCTCAAGGCAAAGTACACTGAGCTTCACGACACGCTAAGAAGGTTTGTACTGATATTTTCTTTAAAGTTATTCAAACAAGAATTGGTGAGACCAGTAAAGGCAAGTGACACCTGTTCTCTCACCGCTTCAATGTACAGTATATGGTGAATTTTCCATAGACAAACAAATGCATTTACAACTTTTATTCCAACACAAAGGATTGTTCTCACCTAAATCTTTCGACCAGTCACGCTGGTCTTCCTCAATAGACTGACCCAGTGAGACTTGTCAGGTGGCTTTTGAGAAGTGTGACAGTCTGTTGAAGAAGACTAGTCAGAGTGACTGGTTGAAAGCTATAGGTCAGAACAATCCTTTGTGTTGGATCAAAAGTTGTAACTCTAAACATGTAACTACCAAAACAGGATGAACTTTCATGGTAAGATAAAAAATCCTGTCCTTCCGTCCCCTCTGCAGTACCAGAGACAATGAGCTGAAGCTGCTGCAGGATGCGAAGACGTACACGGCCGAGCTGGAGATCCAGCGGGTGGAGCTGGAGAAGGCAGACAACTTCCCGGAGAGCGCCAACACCGAGGTCAGCAAGCTGCGCGCACAGCTGCTCAAACACCACAACGACCTGGCGCAGACGGACGAGAGGGAGTACCAGCTGCAGTACAAGATCGAGAAGTAAGCTAACTCTTACAAACTAACAAACACAACCAAGGAAAAGATCATGTCAAGTTTAAGCAGGGCTGTCTCCTTGACCTGCCACAAGGAACAGTTACTGTTACTCTGTCCCAGGATAGAAATTTGTTTGTTCCGTCATAAAAATCTGAACTTCATAACGTGAAAATACATTTTCCTATGCTCAAAATTAAGAGAGAGGGAGTACCAGCTGCAGTACAAGATCGAGAAGTAAGCTAACTCTAACAAACAAACAAAGAAACAAAGACAACCAAGGAAAAGATCGTGTCAAGTTTAAGCTGGGCTGTCTCTTGGACCTGTCTCTCCGTCCCAGGATGGAAATTTGCGTCTTCAATTAAAAAAAATTGAAAATTGAACTTGATGATGTGAAAATACATTTTTGTAAGCTTAAAATTGAAATGAGTTAGAGAGAGTCTGTAACTTAGTAAATTATGCTGATTGATGATAAAATCTGTTCTTCCTCCAGCCTCCATGAAGAGAAGCGGCTACTTGAGAGGGAATACTCCCGGATGCCCAAACCTGGGGTAAGTATATCATCCCTATTTTAGGACTGTAAGGTTTGATCCACTCACACTGGGAAGGTCCCCTAACTCTTTTTGAGTTTGGTAGTTTAGTTCCTTTTGCAAGAGGTTTAGAGCTTTAGAGCTTAAGAGCTTGCCGCCTTTTCTACCCCGAATGTCACCCTGAAGTTTATAGTCCCCCATTACAGACTAAGAGCAAATTTGGCAACGTTTGTCAGATTGGACATTTGCTCTTCATCATCAGCAGCCCTAGCTTGTCACGGTTTGAAGCAGTCTGGAAACAATTGATAAGGATGTGCTGTGGTGATACACCTTTTGGCAGGAAGATTGGCAGCATCACAGATGTTATATATGACTGGTTTATTTATTTCACACAAATACAAATACAAATACAATACCATAGCAGCCCTTCGGCTGAATTGTGGTTATTGTTTACATTTAAACAATATAAAATCAGCTACAATGTATAACGATTCAATACAACAATGTTAAACAATATAAAATCAGCTATAACGATTCAATACAACCATGACTTACACAATGAACATGTCAACTATCATTTAGTAACTTTACAATGAAAGGTAAAGTACTGTTCTTAAATCTCGATGTTCTGCAGCTAAATTGACTGATTTGATTTTTGGACCTGAGTTCTCTGCCATGTACAATTGCACGTGTAGGCGGTAACCACCTGGAGAAAGTAGGGGATCTTGATAAAGACACTGCAAACCTCTTACAGAGTAGGACTCGTCTCTGGTACAGAGAGGTAAGGGACAGCTGGCCTAGGGCAGCATCATAGTTGACGTAGTTCTTACCCAATACAATTCTACATGCTCGCCTTTGCACAGACTCTATGTGTCTAGACTGAACAGAGGTGATGCCTGGGTGCCACACGGGGCAGGCGTACTCTAGTAGTGGTCTTACAAAACCGCAGAAAACTAGAATCAAGTCATTATCACCAAGTCCATACTTCTTTAGCACTCGCACCAGGTAAAGTCTACGGTTGGCTTTGCTCACCATGGAGTTTACATGGGCGGACCACTTGAGATCAGATTGAAGTGTTACACCTAGTACTTTCGCAACATGGACAACTTCCATCTAATGTTGATCCATCTAATCAAAGCATCAAAGCATAGAAGAAATGCGAACTTAGGGGACCCATGACATCTGGTCCATGTGGACAGGTGGTCACTATAGACTGGTCCTTGAGTCCATGGGAAAAATTATCTAAGGGACCACCAAAAGCGGTCACCTTGGCCAGGTGGTCCTTATGCAGAGGTGGTCACTGGTACAGGTTTGACTGCATGCACTGGTAACATGACCTGATAGATCTTTATTTACTTTGAAACTTTGAAACTTTACTTTGAAACTTTATTTTCAATACAAACATGGCAGACAAAAGTCTGAATTGCGTTGGTATTTACAAACCATTGAGCTCGTTTTATATTATTATACACAAGCTGTGGGTATTTACAGTTTTAAAAGTAAATTCTTAATTTCTATATAAAACAAATTGGCATCTCTTAAAGATAAAAAGATCAATTAAAAACTCGTAGTTAGGCGTAGATTGACAACAAGATAGGTGCAGGGTAAACTTTAGATTCGAAATTCAGACAGTTTGTTCAGAGTACAGTTCAGAGTTCACTGTCCCTTGTTGAGAAGGTTTACGAGGTATGGGATAGATTAGCATCACACAAATGTTATTAGGGCAAGCGAATATGGATTCTGGATAACCAAAAGAAGCAACTCTGTTGACACTTTGTAAGGCCAATAGATAAGAACCAGAACCAGTTATGTCTAGAAACTTCTCTAATTTCTTAAGATATCCTTTTTTCTTATGCCTCAAAGATCTAGAAAGCATCCAAAGTTGACCATCTGACTTACCACCTAGACAAAACAGAAATTTGTTGCCAAATGTTTCCATTTGGTGCCAAAGGAAACAGAGCCAAGTGGAGTGTACATGGTGCTCTATATATCGTCTGCACCGACTGCATGCCAAGTGTTATAAAAAGTTCACAGGCCCTCTATTGTCCTAGCAGCAAAAAAGGTCGGCAAGTTTTGGAAGAAAAAGTTGTCTCAGAGATGAAAAGAATTTTTTTTTGCTATTTCGTGTGAAGAAAGTGCCAAGGACGCTCCCACAAGGTAGACACAGTAACAAGGCTGTCTGTACGTCTGACCTTAACCTACTGAGAACTGTTTTAAACCACTGGTATCTCATAAATCTCGGACACTGTGGCAACCAAGGAGGTCCAGAAGGAGCCTTGCCGACTTAAACTTCGGAAGTTCGTTCTTTAAACCTCTTGAAGACAGTTCCTTAGATAAGATTTATGACGTAAACTTCCGAAGTACCTTCTTTGAACTTCTTGTAGACAGTACCTCAGATAAAGATTTACGACTTAAACTTCGGAAGTTCCTTCTTCTGTTTGTAGACAGTTCCTCAGATAGAAGGTTCGTTAGAAGGACTTGATTGTATCCCAAACCCTGGGAGGGAGGGAGGCCTGAGGCTATGCTCTTACTGTCTCAAAGCCCAAAGTTCTAACTGTACAACACAGTCTTTGTCAAGGAATGAATCCACCACTGTGACAGGTCTATGATGCCTGACTTCTTTCTGTTGGAAATTGAAGTTTAAAGAAAGTTCTTCATTAACAAGTTCTACCGACACAGATGGACTTTGAAGTCCCAAATCTTGCTGACAGATGATGATATTTGGATTGAATGTGGTCAAACAAAACTTTTAGGTATATAAAAATGTATTGTCTACAGTATTGCCAATGCTGTACTGTACAATATGGATGTTTAGAGTGTCAACTTGTAGGCATATTACCCATAGATCTATTACATTGTAGCTTGCCCTTCAGAAACTTCATTGCAAAGGACATTATAAGACATTACCTTTGCTGAACGCATGTACGCAGCGAACCATGTTAACTTTTGCTTCTGTTTTCCAATACTTGTTCCTGATGACAGGAGAAGGTTAGCTAAGGAATGTTGGCAGAGTCTTGGACAGTACTCCCCTCATTACCATTTGTAATGGCAGCCATCTTGAGGTCAATCAACCCGTAATAAATTCTGTCTGTTCAGAAGAGATGTGAAGACAATGGGCACCTTCAGACTGTAAATGTGAAGAATGCCTTAGATGTCCTGCCAGGAACAAAACCTGTATCTGATTTAGCTTATTATCAAACGTTATGTAACATCTTTATGTATACACTCTGACATTCCCAATGAAAACTCTTCTGTGGATATATTGTAAGAGGTAAACGACCGCTTGTAATAGGTTAAACTGTCTGACCAAACATAAAACTAACTTGTTATTTGATGAAATGCTGAACTCTCAACTGAACTATCCTAAATTACAGTATCTGGATTATAGCACAGTCTATTAAAAGGTTCCTATTCAAGGCAAAATCCTTACCTTCAATCTAAATCTCTTTGCAGTCTATTTGAAAGGATGAAAAGGTCTTTAAAGATCCTCTGCATGTTTATGCTTAGCTTGAAGGATAAAGATTTGTATCCCTTACTTTTATATCTCCTTTACATGTGGTACAGTGTATTACATGTAGTATATTTGGTGGATCTTTAAAGATCATCTAAATTACTTAATTTGAATATGTTTAGCTTGAGGAAAAGACTCAAAACTAGTTGGGAAACTATTTGGTTATAACTTTTTTTTAGCCATCCAGGTCCCTAGCTACTTACTGTAGATGTCCAGGACCTGACATTCTTGTTTGACTGTGCACGCTGGCTACTTGATGTCCTGTCTGTGTTTATACAAAAGTCTCCCCCACTCAGCTACAGGACTGTCGGAGCCTAACCCTGACCCGATCTGTGTATGCAGGAACTCGAGAAGAAGCAGAAGGAGTTGGAGAAGGTCATCGAAGAGCTAAAGAAGGAGATCAGCCAGAGGCAGCAGGAGGCCAAGAACCTGCGGGAGGACCTGGACACACAGCAGAAGGAGATCACCGAGGAACTCAAGGAACTGGTCAGTGACAGACAACACTTATCATGACAGTTTATCAGTCTGTGTTGGTTACGTAATCATAGTAAAATGTTGAACTTCATTCCAACACAAAGCTCCTCAGCTCCAGAGCTAGCCTGGGTACCAGACTGTTGCCAGGGCCAGTATACATGTACAGGCTAACTCCTCGGCTCCAGGGTTAGCCTGGGTACCAGACTGTTGCCAGGGCCAGTATACAGGCTAACTCCTTGGCCCCAGAGTTAGCCTGGGTAGCAGACTATTACTACTCACTGGGCCATTAGCATACACTCAAGCTGCAGGCTACAGGGCCAACATGCCCCAAATAAAGGCCATTTTTTACCATAGACACCCCTCATTTAGACCCTGATCATGACTAACTGAGAATCTTGCCTGTGTACTAACCCTCACAACAGTCTGGCATCCAGGCTATTTTGACATCAGGCCTCTACAGTACTCCCTTTATAAGCTTCAACACAGTTAGTTTAGTGTGTAACAAGTCTGGAAAAGTTGTTGATAGCTTGTTACCTCTGGCATGGGGGTCCTCTTCTTTTACGGCCACCGTGAGATTTCTCAAAAGTCAACCTTCTCAGATCTGTATAGCAGGCTGAGACGTTTTCTGCCAGCTACATGTACCGGGGTAGAATGATTTCAATGACAGATTCAAAGTTAGAAAAGAATATCCTGTTATAATAATGATTCAAAACCCTACTTCAAAGAGGGTACAAGCTACAAATAAAATTGCATCAATGTCAGATTCATAGCTAAGAAAGAAGATATCCTGTAATAAGGCAAAAACCTACTTTAAAGAGGGAACCATACAGCTACAAATAAAATAACATCAATGAAGGATTCATAGCTGGAATCCTGTAAAAGAAAACCCTGTTCTTCAAAGGTAATGTCCTATGGCCATGACTGCTAGGGACAAACAGACAGACTGTGTGCCACCCAGGCTGTCAGTCTAACATGAACACAGGGAGAAGAGGAGACAAATGTCCACCCTCCCTGTCAGGGCAGTCTCCTGGCACGCTGTTGCCAGACATTCCTCTCCTAGTGGAGACAGGAACAGCAGGACAGAGCACGGGAGGGCTTCCTTCTCACTCAGTGAAAGACCTCCGGGGCTGCCTTGTTTGCCTTTGACATTTTCGCAGATGGCTATATGCCATGTTCTTGGCTAACAGCTCCCCTGGGGGCCACAGTAAAGATGTAAGGAGGCCTATTACATGGAAGTCTTGTCCTCGGTCATTAAGACTGCATCTGAGGTGGATTTGTCCCACCTGAAGAGAATTTCTTCACTTCATCATGAAAAGAATCATGAAAGCTAGCTATTGCAAATTTGGAGACTGATGAAGGCAAAATTAAAGATTGTGACATTCTATTACAATTTCAGGACTTAATTCTGTCAAATAAATTATATATTAATATATCAGTGTTAGCTTATACTAGTTTACATGTATGCTGGAGAAGCAACACACACCTTATAAACTAAGATGAAGTTGTCAAAATGTGTATGATTCATAATCCAGTATCTCTACAAATGAAATCATCATGCAGGTGGCTCATATACAGGTAGATAATCTTCTCTTCCATTTTCTGTTCTCACTCATGTTGGTGGATGTTCATTATTTTTTTTTTCATTTGTATAATTGTGAAATTGTGTGTGATTCAGTGTTCAACATGTACCTCTACAAATGAAATCATCATGCAGGTGTTTCACATACACAATCATCTCTTTCATGTTCTGTTTTTGCTTACATATGAAGTTGATGTAACTTGTTTTGATGTGCTTCTCTTGTTTTATTTCCCCCGACAGGAGATAGAGCTGGAGCAGCAGGAGAAGTTGAAGGTGAGCCAAGTCGTGCTGAAAGTTTGACCTGCGCTTCTGTGGGGCTTAGTCCCATTGACGTCAAGATAGCTACCATTCCCAGAAAGTGCTGTGGTTCACAGAAAGTTGTGTAAAAAGATCTTGGGTGGTAACAACTGTGTTCAATCAAGTCATCACCTGAGTGGGAAGAAATTAAAGGAACACAAATCTGTATTTTAGACTCCCTACAGGAGTAAACCAAACCCCATCCAGAAACTTGTAAGTTGTGCAAGATCTTGGAAGCTCCGAAGGCAACAACTGGGTTGAATCAAGTGTTGATCTATGAAAAAAATGAATTGGAAAAAATCACATTTTAAACTCTCTAGTATAGGTACAAAATGTACATGTATTTAGCCTGGGTGCTATCTGATTTGCTATGGGGCCTGTTGTATTCACTGGGCTCCCCAAAAGGTACAAGGAGCCCCGTATAGCAAATCGGATGGCACCCAGGCTACCAGGTATTGTAATCTGTGACAAATATGACTGAATGCATAAATATGGAAATTTTCCTTTTCCAGACTGAAACACCTTGTAATGTTTTAAGAGAGACGTGCTAAAAATTCAATAAGAAGTGATATACTGGTAGATAGAAATGATCTGGTAAGACAGTAACTGTCATGTAGAAATAATGTAAGTCTTCCAGAAAATTGTGTGCTCAGCTGATATTTTTATCTAACTGCTTTGCTCTATTGCATGGAAAAGAGTGACGTGAGTCTTCAGTGTTTTTCTCGTACAAAATCAAGTTGCACATTATGACATACTACTTCATTGCACTGATAGCTCAGAAAGTGATGATGTGTTGGGTGTCTTAGTTTATATACTTTTTAAAATGGGGATTTGATTTTGTACAGTAGGTGGTGATCGTGAATAAGGGTCTTTTTGTAACTTTTCTGTTTTGCAAAACTTGGTAGCTACCAGTATAGTTTTCTCAAACTTTCCACGGTTATTTTCTAGCTTCAGTGTATTCACAAAATATATAAAAAAAAGACATTTTTACAATGAATTTTGCTGATATCAACTAATTATAACTTAAAGGTAACCTTGTGTATATTTTCTGTTGGTGTTTGTAGTCAGAGTTGGTCCAAATCAACACCCTACCAGCCCAGTACACCAAGGAACAAGAGAAAACAAACAGGAAGAAACTGTAAGTTACAATCTAATTTTCCTCATGTTATATCATATTACACTCTAATCCTTCAATTTGTGTGTTTTCAAGTGTTTTTTTTAGTAGTTTATAAGTAACCTTATACTCTGCATTGTTAACCACTAGGGTCAACATCAAAATCATTGTACAACCTATGAAAAAGGTGGCTGCGCCTTAAAGTGCAGATGAGGGTCATGACTAAACAATACAAATAGCTTTTAATTAAGAGTACCTTTGCCATGATAGGAAATTCATATCTTTGCAAACCAAGCACAACTATAATGATCCAGAAACTTGGACTTCTATCAAAGTGTGAGTCTCACTGTCTGCCTTGTCTACAGGGAGGTAGAGAAGAACAGTAAAGAGCTACAGGAGAAGGAGGAAGAGCTGAATGTTGCCATCAAAGGTGTCAGTGAGAAGAGGAACCAGGTATGACTGTCTAAGTCCCCTTAAAGTAGCTGTCTCTTGGGTGCTATATAGATCTCAATGGACTTTTGAGTTCCAATCACTCCTTTTTCTGGATGGTCCATTGCACAAAAGATCTCCAAGCAGATTTTCGGATGGAATTGGGAACAGTTTTCTGACTGGCCATCTTTTCAGATCTTTGTGGCCTCATGTGGTCATGAATCAAAAGTAGTAGGCTTAGACAATTCTTGCAAAAACTGTTTATTGTACACGGCCCTAATTAACTAATCCCAGCTTTTGAGAGTGGCCATGTGCCGTATTCCTCAATAGGAAATATTTGTAGGGTTTATGTCACGAGCTCTTATACTGCATGTACATGACTTCCTCACAAGGAAATTGTTACTCAAGCAACTGGATAGATTTTCAAAATCTGCCCAGTAACTGTTGCTTCATTAACAATTTCCTTCTGTATCTCATTACCTCGATGTCTAACCTTCATTGATGTACGTGTAATTCATTTGTTTGAGGCGGTTCAAAACGTCTTATTTTATCCGCCTGCCAGGTCGAGGGAGAGAAGGCGGAGGTTCAGGAGGAGCTGAACCGCCAGCGGGACGCGCTCTTCTCCCGACAGCAGGAGTACGAGATGCTCAACAAGGACTACGAGGTGGCCAAGGAGAGGGAAGCTGTGCTACTGGGGGACAGGTATGTTTCATTTGTTAATTAGGGTCAGTAGGTAAGGATTCTTTTATAAATTATAGCATTTCAGAGGGTTCAACATTTGAATTTTATGTCCCTTGCCAGTGGTGGAACCCAAAAAAGGCTAAAGTCAGCACATTTTGCTGGGGTTGGTTTGGCAACCAGAAAGACAACTCTTTTTTCCTAAACCTTTTTTTTTTCATTCTCAACATGCATTTTCTATAAAATTAATGCAAAATTCCAGTACAGCAATGAAGTCACTGCACTATGTTTGTAGACAAAAATTGTTGATATCTGTTGATTTTACACCAACATATCAACCTCCCATGTGGATTGGTTTATCAAAACTCACCACACATGAGGATGGATGAGGGAACAGGTGTGACTCACTTTTACTGGCTCTCACCACAGGGTGGCAAACAATTAAGTCAACAAGTATAAAAAATTTATCTTCAGACAAACAGATATGTGTAGTCAAGCAACTTCCTTGCTGTGTAAGGCCTGCAAAAATATTTGAGCAGCTTCACTGCTGTGCAGCTGACAGTGTTTCTGGTATCTTGGCTGACTCCTAGCCTTTTCTGGCGGTCAACTGCTGGCGAGGGACATAAGATTTATGATCTGACTTTTAAGATTTGAAATGCTATTTCAAAAGAATCCCTACCTACAGACCTTAATGTTTTTTCAGGGCTGAAACTGGAAGACAGAAACACGGCATCACTTTATCTGTTTCCCAATAGATCAACTTCTTCTCTCTCCTTTTTAACTTGCATTTATACCATTTCAAACATATCAACCTCCCATGTCACCATCGCAGGGCGACCCTTGACCTGAGCCTGAGACACACGCACCTGGAGAAGAAGACGCAGCATGACACCCACTCCCGCCGGCAGCGCGAGAAGGACCGCGACCTCCGCAACCTGAAGAAGGTGGAGCTGCAGACCAAGGTGGTGCTGGACGGGCTGGCGCACACGCAGTCCATCTACGAGAAGGTCAAGGCACAGGTGGGCATCCCTGTACTTTTTCATACATTTTGAACTATAATGGAGGAAAGGGTGATGTATAATTAAGGGTTAATGACCTGCCCCAAGGTGAATATGGTGTGATAAAGCCTTGTCAGTTGCTATAACCACCGAATAAAGTCACCGAGTGAGCGCAGGGAACAAAGGGATTTATTAGGACTTTCAATGGTGTAAACTTTGTCTTTTCGATATATACCTCTTTCCACATGACCTCAGTGAAAGGCATCCTGCAGGCCAATCTCATATATTTGGTAAGTTTTCTGACAGGTTTTTGAAATGTTTTTGCACCTTGATCTACAATGTCCAACATCTTTCCACTACTTCAGGTGGACGCTACACCTAAGGATGATGGGACACTGCTGGAGAAGAGGAAACAGCTCCAGAACGAGGTTGATGCAACCAAGAGAAACTTTGCTCAACAGGTGAGACCTTGTACTTGTTTGTACAACCATTTGTATCGACTCCTTTGTTTGTGACGTACCATCACAGGTTAGATTTCTGGCTGGTCGTTGTATCCTTGGGACATGCACTTTGCACGACTTTCCTCACTCCAACCAGGTGTAAAATGGGTACCTGACTTCAATAGAATCGGGGATTTTTTCAAACAAGGCAGTTGAGGGAGAGGGACGGGTTTTGCTTTCCAATATGCCTTAGACACAGTGGATCAACAACCCACTGATCCTATGGCCTCAAGGCCTAGGCCTCTACCTTTACTAATATTAGAAAGCTTTAAACAACTCCTGCAGTTAGATATGCAAAGATTAAGTGTAACAGGTCGTTCAGTGTAATATAGCCAGCTGTCGCAGCCCTGCGTGCCTGCAAAGCTGGTGTGTTATGACGAAAGGTTACACCAGCTATACATGCAGATACAGAAAGAGATACAGAATAATTAGTATTCCTCTTTTTCCATGACCAGAACGCCCTAACATCAGTAGAGCAGGTGAAGGTGGAGCAGCTGATTGCGGAGGAGGAGCGGCTGATGTACGAGCAGAGCGACCTCAGGATCGAGGTCGTGGAGCTGCAGAGACTCGCCGCCATCAAGGCTGACGAGAGGGAGCAGAAAGCCAGGGATCTACAGAGGGCTCAGGTGAGGACATTTTTAATTTTTTAAAAATTCATTTACTTCTTTGTTTTTTTCTTTACAAACTTCAAATTTAATATAAGCAGTGTACCCAAATGTGTACAATTAGTTACAATACATGAAACATTTGAACATGAGCAGAAAGCCAGGGATCTATAGAGGGCTCAGGTGAGGACATTATTCCATTGTCCTGACATTCTCTCTCTTCCACTGTGTTCTGCATCTGCAGTCGCAGAAATCTCCTGCAGCTGCATTCAGTCTTTCTTCTGACCTCTTCCACTGTGTCACAAGCTCAGGATCCCTTACAGCACTGTACATCAAAATGAGCTTTAAATTTGAAGTTTCTTTTCTGTTGTAAGAGGGCCTAGCACTCTGTTCTTCAGGTCTTCATTCAGCATGCTGAGCAAATTGACAGTTTCTTCCTTTGCATGCCTTGTATCAGCTGGAAGCTTAAATTGAAAATTTCCATTTTAGCCATTATACTTTAAATTTGAAAGTTCTTTTTTTTTTCCAGTTGAGGTACCAGAGAGCTCTGGAGGACCTGAAGACCAAGCAGCTGTCCATCACAGACAACCAGAAGAAGCACCAGGAGATGCAAGTCAAGTAAGCATGAACAGACTTTCTACATCATTAACTACATAGATATGTAACTTCCATTACCATTTATCTGTTAGGTCTTTTGAGGCTGTCTTACAGAATTCGAAGATGACATTGATGTATATCCACCACTTAAAAAAACAGTGTGTTTGAGAGATCTCTAGTTCAGGAACCATCAAAACACTAGATTATGCAAATTTTAAAGTGCATTACATACTGAGGGATGTTGCATTGAGGATTTGTATTAGATGGATTTTTCAGGGTGGTGGATATATGTGACCTGGTGAAATTAGGTAGTAGATGTTACATGCATGTACAAGTGTGGACTTTTGTTTCTGCTGCTAGATGGCACCAGTCCTGTATCAATGTTATACACATGACTAATGTATGGAACACCTCAGGATTGATGTTTTGTTGTTAGGTTGAAGGACTTTGCTAAGATGTACGACATCATCAAGAACGAAAGGAACAAGATCGTGAACCTGATCCAGACCAGCACGCAACGAGCCGCAGAGATGAGAGAGAAGATCAAGATCCTACAGAACGAGATTGAGATCCTCAGAACAGCTGTGAACAACAAGGACAGGTGAGAATGGGGATCTTTGACTTTGAACTTCTTTACTTTCATACTTTCAGCTTGTAAGTTCATCTGTGTTGTCATTCTGAAACTTTTCGATTGTTTGCTCAGAAAGTCACATGTTCTATATCTGCATAAGGTCTTGTTATACAATCGGTGGATTGCTCATTCCTTGACAAAGACTGGTGTTGGACTTTTGAAAAGTTGGGTTAGCTCATTTTTTTTGTGTTGGTAGTTACAATTCAAACCTGCTTCAACTTCTGTACTTTTGTTTGAATGGCATACCTGAAAGCATAGCTAAGTGTTAGCTTGAAACTTAAACTTAACATTTAGCAATGCCTGTCAGAAAAAGGACTGAAACTGCAACATATGACATGCCATACTCAAAGGAGTGGCTATCCACCTAAATGTGAGAAAACAGGACCAAAACTGGGCACAGCGTTTTCAGTATGTCATTCAGCATTTGGCTCTTTCAACGACTGAAGTAAGAAATGTGCTGACATTTGTGAACTGCATCCTTGACATACATTTTGCAGGTACACGGTGCAACTGCACTGTGTTATCTACACATTCTGACTTCCTTCCTCATACCTAACACGGACATTTTTCATGGCTCAGCTGGCATCTAGCCACTTTCTGTCAAAAGACTGCTGTTTGACAAATGCCGTGTGTACAGAGAAGAAACTACTGTCCTAGGGAAGCTCTTAATTTCTCCCGAGCAAAACAAAACTTACCTGTTTATTTGTAGAGAATTAATGTTACAGACTGTAACAGTATTGGGTTTTGTTATTGAAGCAACTGGAGAGAGAGTGTTGCTCTAAAGAGTTAGAGTTCAACTTTGTCCTACTTTCAGGACAGACAGTTAGTATACATGTACCTGCTGCTCCTTGAAATTTTACTGTTTTTCGTTACATTCTGTTGTCACCACACTGCTAAGCTTACGGAAACTGTGATGTCCCCTTCAAAACCCACTTTAAATGTTTAGTCACAATCTTAAATTGCAACCTGCGAAACTTGGCCCCTTTTAAAGTTCACGTAGATTTTGTTTTGGCACTCCAGCTTAGCAGGTGTCAGGAGCGATTTCGCAGCAACTGTTTACAATCATCAGCCTGAGAAGGAAGTGTGGTAGTTAGTAGATGGTTGTTTTACACAGTTTTGACAGGATTGTCAGAGCCAAGTGCCGACACCGCTGTGAGCCTGTCAAAGACAATGTAAAGTCGCCCTCACATGTTTTCAACCCGGGCCACTACTGTGTATTACCACTCTGAAGAGGATGTTCACTTTCTACATTCAGCATAGATGGTTTTACATACATTTTTAAAAAAAAGCTAATAATAAAAAAAAAAAACAGAAGGCAAAGCAGAAGCACCAAAACTCCAGTTAGAAAGATTGAAAAGGAAATAGTTAAGTATCAATTTGAAACTAAAATGGCTACATTTGAAACATTTCCCCAGACAACACCAGAACTAGAAGTCAAAGTTGAAGCACCAGAACTCAAGTCATGATCATAAATTAAAACTAAAAGACAGTTACCCAGGAAAGAGTAATTTAAAAGTATCATTTTGACACTCAAATTGTTAAATTCTCCCCAGACAACTTCAGAAGGCAAAGCTGAAGCACCAGAACTCGATCGTGGTGCGTGACAGCCTGCGTAACGAGGTGGCGAAGGCTCGGCGGCTGGAGGAGGAGATGAGGGAGAAGCGGGAGCAGCAGAGGATGGACATCGCCAAACTCAACCTCATGATCAACCAGGCCGAGGAGGAGATGGTCCGTCTCAGGAAGAGGTATGCATAGGGCTGTGTACTGGTATGCAGTACCACTACTGTACCTAAAAAACTTATTCAGTACAGGACCAAAATACCTAATCCCTCAGTACCGGTACTGTACCTGACAGTGTATAGAGTTACACTAATTATATGCTTCTGTGTGGCCTAAATTTGTGGTCCCTGAGACAGGACAGTGTGTTTGTGTTACAGACTGACAGTGTTAACTACCCTGAAAGATCTGTCACAGACCGTTGTGACGGCTCCACAAAAGTGTGTGGAGATCAAATGTGTTGTATGTATCATGTCTTGAGTATTATTTGATTGTAAACCGTTCATCAATTCAGCGTCATAAAAGGCTGTGATTGCACGGATAATGTTTGACCAATAAACCATTTATTATTATTACTATTTATTATAGGTACGAGAATGCGGTGCAGAACAGGAACGACCGGGGCGTGCAGCTGATCGAGAGGAATGAGGAGGTCTGCATCTTCTATGAGAAACTCAACATCCAAGGTGAGTACAAAACCATTGTACTTTGAACCCTTGCTGGGCTCAGAAACATCACCACAGCAGAACTCCACTCCACTCACTGATGGAGGACAGGGACGAATGGAGAAGAAGAACCCATTGTCTCCCATGTTGACATCTCTGATGTCCCCGATCAAGGTTTCACATCCAGAACATTTCCATGTACCTCTAGCTTTTAAAAACTGATTATTTTTGAATGAGGTTTTCCTTAGATTTAGGATGACATATTTTACACCTCAGAATTATGATTTAGCAACTTGCCCTACACTTTTAATTATTAATTACTCATTACAACTGTTCTGTAATACATGTAATTGGTTGGTTGGTTGGTTGATTTATTAATCGATTGAATGATTAAATGATTGATTGATTGATTGATTGATCAATTAATTGCTTGCTTGATTGATTAATTGATTTATTGATTGGTTGATTACAGACACGCTGATCAGGAACGGAGACGTTGAGCTGCAGGGCAGGGAGGAGGAGATCAGGTTCCTGTGATTGACTGATTGATTGATTGGTTTATTGATTGATTGATTGCAGACACGCTGATCAGGAACGGAGACGTTGAGCTGCAGGGCAGGGAGGAGGAGATCAGGTTCTTGAAGATGGAGCTGACAGAGCTGAAGCGGTCCATCGACATCCTGAAGAGACAACTGCCCAACAAGAAGGAACTGGAGCAGGGGCTGGTCACACTGCAGATACAGGTGATTTGTTTGTTTATTTCTTTGTTCAATCAAACCCATAAGGGTATTGAGTTTTGCTGTGCCCAAGAACCACAGGATAGTGGCAAATGGTGAGCTACCATCAAGCCCCAGCATCAGTGTACAAGCACGTCTAACCCTCGGAACACGGGGAACAACGGATGCTAAACCAGATAGAGGGAGTGAAAGAGAGACAGATAGAGACAGAGAGAGACAGAGAGAGAGACACAGAGAGAGAGAGACAGACAGACAGACTGAGAGTTTGAGCCATTGTGTTAGGCCGGGTACTAAAGCAGCTGACTCTCTTTTGTCCCCCTGCTATTTACAGATGGGATGAAAGAGACAGAAGCTACAATAGGTTTGGTTAACAGGCTACCTTTGTGTACTACTGTATACTTCAAGTCATAGTGATCCTTGAAAATACACTATAAGAGATCAAGTCTGAACACTTTCTTTGTAAGTATAGTTACTGTAATTCTCACACTTTTGGTACTTCCTGTAATGCCTTGGTTCAAACATAGGACAAGGTATTTACTTAGTGACTCTGCCAAGCATCATGTAACTGTGTTGTTACACGTGTAGTGTGGTAACGACATGTACACATACATGTACATGGCATCCTTGGAGGCACGTGGTGGCCATGACACCTGTTTGATCTGAGATTTGTACAGCCGAATACCACCCACCAACATCCTCCCAGTGTCCTCACCTCTCTCATCTCTTACTGTCGCAGCCTGCAAGTTTGGGAGCGTGTCCCTATCCCGCTGGTATGCCAAATATGCCAAATAAAACACCTCTTGACTTTGAGAGATTGTAAAAGATCACGACTATCAAAGTCAGCCTGTTTGTTTAGACCCTCACCGGCCTGAACGTTGCCTCAGACTGTCAGACGTCTGTCAACAACATTGTGGTTCATTTTCCGCAGAAATACATCCACAGAACTGATTATTTTTTCTTGTCAGCATAGGAAGGATAAGATGCATCTTTTTTAGCCTTTGATTATTTACAAGGGAAGTCCTAAACAAATATGGAAGTGTTGAAAGTCTTTGTGATGAAAGTTTGTTTCGTACCATTTGGCCGGGAATATAAGCTTGGAGGGTCTTCTTGGCTAGAAACTATTAGTTAGGTCTGGTCACTCAGGTGTGATTTGGAGAAGAGATCAAGCAATTGTGCCTGATAAGCTTTTCAGGCCTTCAGTGGGACCAGCACAAGCATGATACCTGTTATGGCACAGTGGTAAGCTAGACAAAGTTTAAATTAGTTATGTCCTTACATGTACAACTGCAAAACGTGTACATGACCCAATACAAAGATGAAGGAATAAAAGTATTGTCAGTCACGATTCTTACATTTTGGACAGGATGAAGTTAACTTACTTTTGACCAATCAAAAGCTAGCTTACATCAGCAGCTAGGCCATGCCTGTTGCATGTTTCTCGCTTGGTATGGTCCTTGAGAAACTGGGGCGGATTTAAGTGATGGACTTTTAAAAAGTTTCTGCTTCCCAGTTTTCACAACAGTCCACCCCCGTAGGAATCCAAAATGGGTCAGGGAAATAAACAGATCATCATTAGGGCGTCTCTCTCATCTTAATCTTAATTGGTTTCCTTCTAACAACAGGCAAGTTGAGCTTTATTTCAACTGCTCCATTAATAAAAATGTCCAAGTTGCAGGGACTTGTATACACTATACTGTAATCAGTTTCTGTGGTGGTTATTGCTATTGTTAGTGCACAAGGTGTGCCTGCCTCTGTTTTCTTGAATGAAATTCCTGAGAAGTTTTGGCAGCAAAGCTGTTCCCATGCCTGTCACAGATCTCTCAAGCCAGGCTAAGGCTGGGAATGTGAGGGGAGGCAGATAAAGAGCCACATGTTTTGCGGGGCGTGGGGAGAGTCTGATGTGTAAATACTGCGGAGGTGTGGACGTGTGTGCAGCCATGTTACATGTCAACAACATCCAGTAGCCACCAGTTCACACTGGCAGACACTGCCAGGCCAAAATCTACATGTATCTTATCTGTTGGTGATTTCTTTTCCTGGGTGCCACAAAAAGGCATTGCGACTTTTAATTCACAGGTATAATGTAGCTTTTAAGTCATTAAAAAAAAGAAGGCGTCACATCTGTCTGGGAATATATTTTCTTTGAGCTATAAACTAAGATCCAAAACCTATCTTATCTAACAGTTGATGATTTCTTTTGCTGAGTGGCAAAAAACAGAAGTTTTGTCGAACTGCTTTCCACACTATAAGTATGCTGGAAGTTTTCAAGGTGTTGCAACAGTGTTCCTATAATAACACACAAATCGAAGGTACCATAAAATAATTACAGATGGGGCTCTGCTGTTGTCCCTTTTTGCCCAGTTGCCCCAGTGCCAGTGAGGACAGGATGTTATTTAAATTGTACTAAATTCGACTAGAAGTAGACATTTAAGAGTACACGTCCATATGCATCCTCCTAATGACTGTTGTTAGTACCAGACAATCAAATGGGATATTATAAATGCAGTGGAAGACGAAATTCATTTCATCTCTAACTGTCCATTTTATGACGACATCAGAAATCAATTATTTACCACCGTGTCCAAAATGCTCCCTTACTTCCCCACCGTTCCCTACCACAAAAAAACATTTTTACTACTAAAATCAAAGAACCCACATATTATAGAAGAAGTGGGTAAATTCGTCTTCCACTGCCTAAAAAGAAGAAGTCAAACCCAGTAAATATAGTACCATGCATGTTGTAGAATATAGTATAATGCTAGACGTAGATGTAGTCTCACATACCACTGTATTTTCTTTCTTATGTTGTTTGTAACTGCAATTAGCCCTCGGGCATGTATTTGCAATAAACTTTCTTAATTATTGTACAATGTGCATGCTGGCACAGACTGTTGTTTTCCCTCCTTTTCCAGTTGCCCTTGTGCCAGGAAAGGTTATGTAATCAATATTGTACCACTGTGGTAATTTTGCTATACATTGATAGTGTTGACTATTGACACTATTATTTCCCCCCCCCCTTGCCCAGCTGTCCCAGTGCCAGGACAAGATATTGAAGTTGCAGAATCCCTATAACAAGGACTAATGTTTTCCTGTGTTAGTGTAACAGTGGGGTTTATCCTCCGCTAACTGACCATGTTAAATGGTCGTGCGACCTTTTAGTGTAGTGGTTAGCGTTGGTGACCGCCAAGCGGATAACTTGGGTTCGATTCCCGGTTGTGACCTGCTCGCCCCTTTCGGTTTTTACAGTGGCGCCCGATGTGGGCCCTGTGAGTACTGGCACTGAGGATAAGTGTGGCAGCTCCAGGGATGTCGGACTCGGAAGATTCGAGGACGAATCTTGAAAGAAGGGGGAGTAGTGTAACAGTGGGGTTTATCCTCCGCTAACTGACCATGTTAAATGGTCGTGCGACCTTTTAGTGTAGTGGTTAGCGTTGGTGACCGCCAAGCGGATAACTTGGGTTCGATTCCCGGTTGTGACCTGCTCGCCCCTTTCGGTTTTTACAGTTTAGGACAGGACATTATGTAATGTACTGTACTATTTAATACAGCTTTGCTGTACATTGCCAGTGTTGACACTGTTACTTTCCCTCCTTGCCCAGCTGTCCCAGTGCCAGGACAGGATGTTAGAGCTGGAGAAGGAGCTGGAGAATCCCTACAACAAGGAGCGTGTCCGGCTACTGGGGGGGAGGGACCTGCCTCCAGAGGACATCAACAAGAAGACTGAGGATGTGAGTCACAATTTCCTTTTTTTTTTTCAATACATTAAACCTAATTGCATAGTTGTAAAGTGTATACACAAAGAAATTACAACATTGTAGACTTAATATATGATTATTATTATTATTATGATATTGATTGATGAATAGAAAATATCAGAAAATTTAGTGATTTATTCCATTTTCAAGACTACCCCATCCTTACACTAGTTACAGTACATTCACACAATGCTACTAACAGTGACCCAGCAGGTGCCAGGTGGGAGTAAGTGGGAAGTATGTGGAGGAATTCAGGGAGTGGTGTAATACCTGAAGCCAATCCCTTACACAGTTCAAATACATTCACAAAAACCCAAGATACATAATGTCATGTACTTTTCAGAGGTCTATTAAAGATCTTGAAAATCAGTAAAACCTGAAAGTCTGAAATTTCTTAATTCTATTTATTTTTTCCCCAGTTGGAGATGCGTCTGTCGGAGAAAGAGGAACAGCTCCTGGAGAAGGACCTGATCTTCGAGCAGATCACCCGACTGAGCGACCGCGTCAGGAAGAAGGCCGAGTCAGGGAAAACAGACACCCTCAACCTCGCCAAGAGTGTAAGTTTCCTCAAGAATTGTGGTTTGAAAACCTTTGATCAGTGTAAAAATAAGAAGATTTTAGAATAAGGAAATTTTCTGATCCAGTAGTAGACATCTTTAACAATATCAAACCTTCCCTCTACATGTACATTGTATCTCTCAAGAAACGTTGTGAGAAATCTCTGTAGAAAGCCTAGGACCAGAGTAAAGAAAAAGGTTTTCTGATCCATTAGTAGATATCTGGTTTCTTTTGATAGTTATGTATCAATCATCCTCCCTGTCAAAAGTCTTTCCCTGGTGGTAGTAACTGGTGTGTTTACAATGTAAAGGTAGTTTGATTCATCCACTACAGATTATCAATGGTTTTATTTGCATTTGCAATAACAGTGTCCAAAAAATTAAGGTGGCAGCCCAAAGGCTGACATGATATTGGGACATTACAACATTTCTGGGTGCAAATTGATATCATTGCAGGTAGAATAGCCAGATACCAGACATGCTATCTGTTGTTGATGATGTCTTATAACATTTCTCACCCGCAGGTAAACGAGCTGCAAGGTAAGATAAAGGAGTCGACCCGGAGGATGATGGCTAAGGTGTCGGAGCTGTCCATGATCCAGGCAGAGGCTCTCAAGCTGCAGCAGGACGTCAGGGAGAAGGAACAGACTCTCGAACAGGTGGGTAAAACTTCAATAGACTAAAGTGCAGTTTTTTCCTATGTCTATTAAGTGACTCATGCACTATCTTACCTAAGCTAAGAGTAAGTTGTGTTTATTGTAGCATTGTCAGAATGAGTCAGGAAAACATTTCAGAATTTGCTTAACATGAATTTGTGAAAGAAAAGAAAGGTATGGTGATACATGTACATAGATGATGATTCTTAAGTTTACTTTCTTCATTTTGTCTAACCATGTAACCAATAAAGAGCCGCCCCAGTAGGGGAAAGGTTATTCCAGATTCTGGCACAGGACAAACTTTTTAAGAGAACTACTAAAAACTTATGTATTGTCTTTTGACCATGTTAAAATTTTTGCTATTAAATTTGTGCTGAAAAAGAAGTTATGGTCAGTGGCTTTTTTTTTTTACATTGAACCTTCTGCCTGCTGTCCATCTATGTAACCAATAGAGCTGGTGCCAAAAGAAGCCCCAGTATATATGGGGAAAGGATTATTTCAGAATTCAAAATTATTCTGATAGTTAATTTTCAACAGAACTACGGTACTACTAAAAATGTTTTGTCTTTTGATCTAAAGTTAAGGTCATGTTAAAATATCTGCTATTCCCCCACCAGGCGTACATCCGAATGGAGCAGGGTGAGGCTCCCACAGAAGAGGCGGCGATGGAGTGGGACAAACTTCTGCGCACTGACACCAGGAGACAGCTGGAGAGTCAGGAGAAACGAATGGTGGGTGCAATCATGTACAAAACACTCATATATGGGGGCCTGCATGCCCTTTTCCATAGAGTATAATCGGTTGTTCTAATTCTACGTAGAGCGTAGACGGACCGCTCTAATTCAAAGTAGAGCATAATTGAAACAATTTGCATAGAGTGTAATGCGTTGTACATGTAGCTACCAGGAATTTATTGTAAAACGTAATGGGAAGGCTTCCTGAATTCAGCGTAATATGTACTACTTACGTTCTACAGAAAAGGGCATGTGGGGCCCCCCTTGGTGGGAGGCCAGTTCAGCTTCACTGCCAATGTGATGAACTAGTCTAGTAGGTCAGACCTAACAAACTTCCGAAGCCTGGCTTGCATAGCACTTTTATCTCTCCTGTAAATTGTGTAGGGGAAAAAGCTTTTAATGTTACACGGTTCACCAGAAATATTTGTGGGTTCACGTGTTTTCGTAAATCACTTCGCCAGCCTGGTCTGTTGCTGTCTCTTTCTTTTTTTTTTTTTACGAGAAGTTGTTGAATGCTCCGTTGCTAATTACGATAAACACGCATCAAATGTTATAGAGATTTACAGCTTTCAGCATCTTTAATCAGACCTACGTGGTTGACTTGTATGTTCGAAAACTGGACTTATAGTATAAACCTGCCTTTCTGACAACTATCCAATGTCACTGATAAAAGGTAGTACCATGAATGCTGCCTGAAATGTCTGTTTCCAAAATCATATCCAGTTGCTCGAGTAAATGTTTTTTGGCATATCTTATTACCTGGATGTCTAACCTTCACCGACACATCAGACTCTTTGGGGTTCTGTGGATATTTCCCTCTGAGTGTCAAATGTAGTTTTTTTGGCTTTCCTCCATCCCGACACTTGTCTGCACAACACGGCAGCAAGACTCGATCAGCGGCAGTTAGTTTATCATACATGGAGGACACGTGTTGCTGCTTGTTGACAAGCAGGTCTTACTCGACTGGTCAGGAATGTCGTGTGACACAATCGCTGAAACCAAAACATTTCCCTCGTGTACCAGGAGTTTTAAAGCTACGACAGTGAGCATCTTCCCTGTTTGATCCTCTTAGTGTCAGGACTTAGTAAGGCCGTGTCTTTGTGATCAAGCAAATGTTGAGTATAGAGAACTTTGGTGCAATATGTAATTCATTGGAGGCAATATGGAATGTGGTCTAAAATAACCGCCAATATTAAATTCCAATGTGACAAGTTAGCCTTGAGGAGGGCTACATGATTCCCATGTTACATGTATAATTTTTGCCGTATGGTTCTCATGTATTTTGGCTGCATGGATTTTACATATTTTTTCAAAGTTGGCCTTGTATATATTGGTGGGTGAATTAGACCATATTATTACACTGTTGCCTGCACCAGCCTGCATAAGAACAAACAACATGTGGCTTCCAAATGATTTTTCCTCATCAAAATGTCTTAAAAGCTACAGCTGGCCTTTTATCAGATTCTACTTCCTAATGTATTTCTACCAGTTGCAATTTCATCCAACAAAATTTCAAATAAATTTCATTTCATTGAAGGACTTTTCCTTGGAGGATATCAACGCGATAGAATTAATGTTGGTTTCCTGTACAAATCTAATGTGATTGAAGGGTTTAAACCAAACATTGGAAAATTTCAGGCAGCTTAAAGATAGCTGTAGCTTATAGATTACACCGGTGCAATAGCTCGCTTTGTAACCGGGAGGTCGTGAGTTGAAACCCCGGCCGGGTCATACCAAAGACTTTAAAAATGGTACACACTTTTTTCACAGCTAAGCACTCAGCACATGTGAGAAAGAGTGGGGGAAGGTCAAACACACAGGACTAGCCCCCTGCTGTAGTGCATTGCACAATTGTGTGTCGCCCAAGGGCTACGAAATGGAGATAGGCACCACCCTATGCTCGGGCAAGAGCACGGGAGACCTTCTTCTTCTTCTTAAAGATACGTGTAGCAGTAATGGTAATCCTCCTGAGTATGTAGTAGATATGGGGAAAGTAGCGGCCATATGTTGATGATTGAAGCTTCCTGCTTTGTGGTTTGCTTTTGTTGCTGGCAGCCGGCCACACAGTCGGCTCCCGTCAGACCAGGGTGTGACCTGATCTGTTGTTGGTTAGGGTCACGGTCAAGGTGTCTGTCCCACAGCCTGTGGTCCGCTGAAGGGAAACAGTTGACATGCAGGGCTGGAAATAATCTCCAAGCAGATTCATTGGGGCAAGGATCCAACATTGGTACAAGCATCCAATGGATACAGGGGGCCAACATAAAGTCTCCTTGCCTCATCGAATCTGCCTCGAGATTAGGCTCAAAATACATTTTCCTGCTTACATGTACATGTACCTGCACTGTTTCCGCACAGCTTGTATCTAAAGCTTGAGGATTGTGCAGATGAAAGTGAAGTGTTTTACATCATGTACATGTGCCTTATGTCATTGTAGAAGACATACAAGATTAAAGAAGTTAATGAATGACACTGAATGTTAAGTCCCAGTCAAGTGCACAATATCGTTCTTAATTGGACCATGATGACCATGAACTTCAGCATCTGTCAATCACAGGCGGAAGAAGACTTAGTGGAACACTACATGATTTGATATTGCTCTCACTAATAATATTCTTCCTATAGTATTTCCAGAGCCATCAACAAGAGTAATATGCCAATTATTGGTCAATTTTGTCCAATTTGCAATACTGTATCATGATTCTACGGAGTTAGACCACATACAAGTCTAAAACGTCCATCTCAGGCAGAAAAAGAGCTGGAACACTACACAATTTGATGTTGCTCTTATTATAATGTTCTTCCTATAGTAATTCCCGAACAATTATTGGTCAATTTTGTCCAATTTGCAATACTATATCATGATTCTACTGATCATTCGTACTATTTGTAGTTATTTTGTATGTATCATGTACTAGTCTTAAATCTCTGCATCTGTCCATCACAAGTTGAAACACTACACAATTTGATTCCTAGAGCCATCAACTAGAGTAGCTATTATAACACACAAATTATTGGTCAATTTTGTCCAATTTACAATACTGTTCATAAGTTTTAAATCTGTGCATCTGTCTATCACAGGCTGAGGAAGAGGCAGAACACTACACGATCGCCGGTGGCATCACAACAACGGCCGAACCACGTCCGAACGCGTACATTCCCGATGACGACACAGAGCTTCCCGTTCCCCGACCGTACGGATCGCTCGCACCCTTCAAACCACAGGAGGCGGGGTCCTCCATGAGACATATTAGGAAACCGATTGTCAAACCTATAGAGATCTAGATTAACTTAGGCTTGTCTTGATAACGCCCCCTCTCCACTAGGCCAGCGATCGTTCTGTGAATGTACATGTAGGGCAAGCAAAGATTTGACAAATCACTCAACAAATTTCTTAGAAAAAGAACAAATTTTTACACGTTTTGTGTGTTTTCTTGTCCTTTCAATCATACTTTTACGTGCTGCATCATATTCCAATCATGAAAACAAGCGTCACACATATTCAATTTAAAATTTGTTTCTCAATGGCCGCAGTGCGATCGCTTCCCAAGTGGAAAGGGGGAATAATGTATTTACATATGTTGTCACTCTGTCACCACATTGTGCCTTGTGAATACACAGGGTCCCTCGGACCAATAAGTGCCTAATGAACTTCACATGCTATAATTATACATGACAGCATGACAATGTCAAGTTGTCACTTAAATCTCACCGAAGCCTGAAGATTGTGCAGATAAAGAGAGTGTTATACATGTGCCTTATGTCACTGCGAAAGAAGAGATTTAATTTACTGAAGGACACCAAACGTAAAGTCTCAATCAGGTGTATGAGAAGTTTAGTGGGTTATGGTTCACTGCTTGCTAGTACATGTAACTCTCGCCTTGCTGGGGTAGCCTTTATGCACCAGATTTGCACTGGTTCTGGGGTTAGGTGGCAGGTAGAAGGTTTAACGTAACAACAGGTGGACAGTTACAAATGTATGTTAAACAAAAACCCCTGTGTCCAATACATTGGGAAGCAAGGTGGGATTTGCATGATTTACTTCCAATTGTCAAGATCAAGAATAGCAACACCACATACAACTAATACCATAAGCCTGACAGCAGGGTCTTATCTTTTGAAACCAAGGCCTTGACCTATATGTACCAGTACCAGGACTCGATTAGAGTGGAGGATAAGACTGGCTTTAGCATTTCCTGTGCTGAGTTGTCAATTTCACAATGCCTTCATACAATCCCTTCCTGTACAAACTCTACAATGAGGTGGTAGCAGTGTGGTACATGTACATTACTGTTGTAGCCAGTCAGGCTTTACTCAAGGTGTTACATGTGTCAAAATCTATAATATCATGATGACTAAAAGAGCCCTGTCTTTACATGAACTTGTACTTCTAGCGGCTCAACATCATTTAAGGATATATGAAATCTAGAAAGTGAAGTGCTGTACATACATAATTATACGAATTATTTACATCATTCAAAGATCTCACCCAAGTGCCTGATACTTGACGTTTCTATCTATTTTAACACATGGCAAGATAATACTATCACAGATGTAGTATTTTGCACAATCATATTCAATGTACATATTTTGTATAAAGCTATAGGTGTATACAATGTGATGTGAAGTGGATACTTCTGAACAGAAACATTCTTCAACTGTACTCAATTTTGTTTTGAGGTCTTATTAAATAAATCAATAATTTTCACATGATTTCTTTGTTTCATTGTTATTTGCAACCTTATCCCTTACCCCAAGTATATTCCAATTTTCTCACCTTATAAAGTTATGTCAATAAAATGTCACAGTACATCAGTTACCAGAATCACCTGCACGTGTCAGTGAGGACCCCTAGTGATCCAAATTATTTTGCTCCAGCTCATTTTAGTGATTTGGTGAACATACATGTAGCAGCAGATAGAAATTGATAATTCTTACATAAAAAATCTAGTAGGTACATCGATCAGAGTCATAACTTTGCACACATTCAAGGTATACATGTGTAACATGTATTTGAGCAGCATTTAATTATAGGTAACATTTAAGTATTTTGCATGATAAGTCGTTATATACATGTACATATACTAATCAGAGTCATCATTTTGCATAAGGCATACACAATGCATAAGACTGTTACATGTACGTGTATTTGAGCAGCATTATTGCACAGATTTAGGTGTTTAGACATGAGACAGGTTGGTTAGTGTCAAATATGAATACTAGATACTAGTAGTACTTACATGTACCTAATGGTACAATAAATGCAGTATATAGTAACTTACTAATTACAAAAGGTAGAATCATAACATTGTACAATTTGTAACTGAGGCCACACCAATTTAATTTGTTGGTTCTCGGATTCGCCTCTTCATTTTTTCCTGATTTGCAAAAAAAAAAAAAAATTCAGAATCAAATGCAAAATGCTCATATTTTGTCCTGAACAGTTTAGAACAGTCCTTTTCTTCCTAGTTGTTACAGTTATTCCATCTTTCAATGCAGTGGTATCATTAGAAGTTCAAAATTCATTGTTTAAATTTTGAACCAGCCTTTTGTGTTGACTTCATACCTCCTATCGTAGCATTTGGGGCTATAATAGGATGCCTAGATCTGTTTTTATTTTTATTTTTTTCGCCCTGTCGCTTCATATTTTTCCTGAAAAAATCAGAGAACCAACAAATTAAATTGGTGTGGCCTGAGCAGCATTAAAATTAACAGATTTAGGTGTTTAGAAGGAAACATTGGACAGGTTGGTTCTTGGTTAGTGGCAAATATGAATACTAGATAGTACTTACACTTACGTACATTTTGTAACTGAGCAGCAATACACACAGATTTAGGTGTTTAAAATGACACATTGGACAGGTTGGTTCCGTACTCCTGCTTGGTCTGCTGTAGTGCCGACTGCTCCACAAACTTCAGGTCAACATACCGGCCAGAACGGCCGTGCCGCTTCGTGTTGGGCTCTAGGAAAGGATTAAGGAATTAGTAACACTGTCATCGCATCTTCTTCCTACCAGCTACATGTACGTGCTGTTGAGCCTCACATGCACAGTAAGGCCTGGGAAAAAATATTGTCAGTGTTTCTTCAACTTTCTTGATTTCCTGGCTGACCCTTAGCCTGGGTGCCATCCTCCATAGTTTCTGTTGGCCTCTAAATGTCGCTGGCTATCGCCGGCAGAAACTACGGAGAATGGCACCCAGGCTAGCTGACCCTAGCCTTTGTTCTCAATCAACCACTAGCAAGGCCATAAAATGAGCAGGTTTTCTTCAGGGCTTCAGAAGCTCTTCCCTGATGACTCAGCTAGCTTCCCCAGTAGTTTTTCAAGACAGGAGTTCAATTAGCCACTCTAATCAACTCCTGGTGTACAAAATTCTATTAGCTATAGCTCCTACAGGCACAACACTCCCACTAAGCAACCTGTTGAGCTGGACGGGGAAAACTATTAGAGCAGCGAAGACAGCCTGCCTCAACCACGATAGACTGGACACCAGGCTAGGCTGAAATTGTGAACATAACATTCTTTTCCTAGACCTAAGATACACCAGCTGTAGATCCACCTAATTTACAATCGAAAATTAAGGGCTCTTGCATAAAAGTACCATAATACTGACAGAGCGATTTCAATCCCTTCTTCTGACAGGCCAAAAGCAGTAAAAGATCAAAGCCAGCTCCCGACATGAGAGGGGGGCTTTAGATTATTGTCAAATCAAAACATTTGCGGTTTAAACATTTCCAGTCACGGAAAAGTGTTTACGTAACATCTGGAGTCACGTAAGCGTGCGGATTCCCCTTTGGTAATGACGTATGTCCGTCTGACTTCTACAAGTGCAACACATGGCTTTGGTCATGGTTGTTTTATTGTGTGGCTACTTTCAGCCTGTATGCTAGCCTTGTTAGCTTGTTGTGGGCAGGGGACATACTCATAGCAATGACAGTAAAGCTAGTAACAAGGCTATGGTTCTTCGAATCAAGACAACAAAAAAGAAGCAGACCTAACTTATTGGTCCTATTGGATAAGGAACATCTAATCTATTTCTGGTGTGCATTTAGATGGAAGGTACAAATGTATTGTCTTCCATAAAAGGTCTATCCTCCCAGTAAAATGTAGACTCATCATTTGAAATGTAGATTAAAGCATGGTATTGTTGATAAGGCTTGTCCACTCGCACAGATAACTTAGACTCAACTGACTTTTCACAACTTTTGCAATGGGGTCCCGTCCGGTAAATACAATTATTATAGTTCTATGATGGTCATAACATTGTAGGACTAACGTACAACAAATCTATGAGTATGAACGCCTACTACACTAAGCACGTCGGCAGAACGTACTGCACCTGCGCGAAACCCGTAATGTATTGTACATAGCACTTCGCCAGAATGTCTCATATAAGGTTGTATTCGCTCATATAAGGTTAGCATTTAAACAGTAGTTTCCAAAGGTTGTGTCAGAAAAGATATCCACTGCAACAGTGAAAATTCTGATGCAACGTTGACCAAAAATCCAATTAAAAACGCGAAAATCCAGGGTTCTGCGCAGGCGCAGTACGTTCTGCCGACGTGCTACTACACTAGTACTTCACCTTTCATCTGCAGCAGTTTCATGAGTGTGGCCAGTGGAGGGAAGTGAACGTGGGCATCTACTGAGTCCTCCTCACTGCTGTCTGCACAGGGTCAACCACAGGTCAAGGTTTTACCAACAAAATAACATCATACAGCTTCTACAGTACTCTTCTACATGTATGTACTGCCTGCCTTCTTCATAGAGTGTTGTTTTGCGAGATGTTGTCTGAAGATATATTCTTTACAGGGGAGTTAAGTTTGATTATTGCTATCAATGTCACAGCAAATTGGTTGTACACAAGTCATAAAATGCACATTAACATATATATAT